TGGCGGTGTCATGCGAACCTGCCACTGGAACCTTCGGTGGAACTTCTCATGGGGCCACGAACCGTGTGAAGGGTGTGCCGAATTGGGTGCGGTGTTGCCATGTGAACCCTGCCACTGGTGCCTTCGATGGAAGTCCCTATGGGGAAACAAACCGTGTGAGAGGTGCGCCGACATGAAAATGGAACTGCATGCGAACCCTGCCGCCAAAGAACTCGGTGGAACTTCCTATGGAGCCACGAACCGTGTGAGGGGTGCGCCGAGATGATTGTGGAACTGCATGCGAACCCTGCCGCTGGGGCTTTCGGTGGAGCTCCTTATGGGGCCACGAACCGTGTGAGGGGTGCGCCGAAATAAAAATGGAACTGCATGCGAACCCTGCCGCTGGGGCCTTCGGTGGAGCTCCCTATGGGGTCACGAACCGTATGAGGGGTGCGCCGAAATGGCGGTGGAACTGCATGCGAACTCTGCAATTGGTGCCTTCGGTGGAGCTCCCTATGGGGCCACGAACCGTGTGATGGCGTGCAGGAATGGGCGTGGAACGATGACGATGATGGTGATGATGACGGCCGTAATGGTGATGACGATGGTGATTACGATGACGGTGACGAGTTTGATGATTATGCAGATGATGATGCTGCTGTTGGTGATGATGACGATGTGGTGGTGATGCTGGTGAAACTAATGCTGATGTTGCTGATGATGATGATGAGGCCAATTGTGGTAAGAGGGGGAGGGGGAAGCGGGAGGAGGAGAGGTGAGGAGAGGAGAGGAGAGGAAGGAGACGCGGGACGCTGTCTCTTCAAAGCGAGGACCCAACACCACAGGATGGTTGGGAAATCCGCCGATCCGGCGTGTGAGTTTAGGCACATGGGGTGACCAGGGCGGCTCTGCTGGGGTAGGGGAGGGGGGGGGGTCCGGAGACGTGGGTTCCGGTGGCATGGGGAGGGGGTCCAGTCCCTCGTCCCGCCTGTGGACAGGGGGAATTGGGGGAAGATGGGGGGGGGTTTCTGGTGGCCGGGGTGGCTCTGCCGGGGTAAGGGGGAGGGGGTGGGGGGGGTTTCCTGTGGCGTTGGTTCTGGTGGCGTGGACAGGGGGGGGGTCCGGTAGGGGAATTAGGGGAAGAGGGGGGGTGGGGTCCGGTGGCGTGGGTTCCGATGGCGCGGGGGAAGGGAAGGGGGGTTCCGTGGCGTGTGACTTTGAAGGAGCCTCAGCTGCAGCCTCGAGGCTGAGCTTCAGCCTTTGGGGGGGTGCCGGGGTGGTTCTGCCAGGGAAGGAGGGGAGGGTGTGTGTGTGTGCGCGTGTGCGCGGGGTAATGTTTGTCCGTGTGCGCGAGAAGGGAATCGGGGAAAAAAAGAAAGATCAGTGGAACGGGACAAGAGCGGAAAACACGGAACAAATGGGAGGAAGACGAATGTGGCGGAGAAGTGTGTCTGTTGTGTGGTGTGTGTGTGTGTCTGTGTTTGTGGTGTGTGCGCGGTGTGCGTATGTGTGTGTGTTGCCGGCGTGTGCGTGTGTATGTGCCTGCGACGGTGGCGCGCGTGTAAGTGTGGTGTGTGTGTGTGTATATGTGTGTCTGTTCGTGTGTGTAGTGTAGTGTGTGTGTGTGTGTGTGTGTGTGTTTGCGTGTGTGCGCGTAATGTCTGCGAGCGTGTGCGTGCGCGTCTGTCGGCGAAGTGTCGCCGCCCAGTCTGGGGGGCACCCCAAGCGACCCGGATCGGCGGCACTGGCCGAAGGCCACTACAATAATCAAAAAATCGCCCCCGAACTATTTTCTGTCTATTTTTGAATATTCCTCCTGTAGAGGGACATGCCCGAGTTAACCCAAATCTCCTACATTTGTTTTGTTCGATCCCAGCGTTTTTCCGCGATGCCGGCCCCCGAGGCCTGTGATCGGGCTCCGTGAAAGTCCCATATGGTTCTGGGACGAACGCCCACCCCTGGGGGAGAAGTCGGCACCACTGCGGCGGCGTAGTGACACATCGTCGGGTGCCTGGGAACGCCGCGAAGCCTCGATCTTCAACCACCTGGAATTTTGACGCAGAACTCCGACCGACCACTGGAATTTTGAATCGCTGGCACCCCTTCCCCATGGCTGGCTTTTCATCCTGGATGGTTTTCCGACGTCCCCAGGTCCCTGGAACGATCTACGGTCACCGGGAACTGCAAAGAACCTCCCGCGTGATCCTTTAGAATCGCCAGGCCGGGGTCCCCAGAGGTCCCCGATGTCACCCTGTGGGGACCCCGGATCCCCGCAGAGGTCCCTGACTGTCGAAGATGACAGAACACCCTTTGGCAAGAAACCCTTTAATGACAGCTGCTAGGAACACTCCGCGTGCGCACGGAACCGCATTCTGAGTGGACCCTAGTGTGGTATCTCATCAAGGTCCAGAGACAACCAATTGCACTCGGCAAAACGTATGTCGATTAGCGAAACCGACTAGGGACTGCACTGGTACACTCGAACGCCGATGCCGAATGAAAGGTTCAAATTTACCTACTCGACTTGTCTGGGTGGGCGTTCTCTCAATGCACGAGACGGTTCCAGAAGTCTCTGGAAACATCCAGAAGCGGCATAAAGCTATCAACAGAAAAGCCTCGATCCCCGACCCTCCATCCTCTGGTCGTCTCTACCCAAGAGTGACCCAACGCAATAATTTCATCAATTCACGCTGTTATATCCTGCGCCCCCCGAGAAAGCCGCGCAAAAAAGCCCACCCTGACGATCGGCAAGGCAGCTCCTGCGTGCAGCCGGTGTGGGCACCCGGGTCGGCAGTTGCCATAACAGTGCTCCTGGCCCACGGCGTCCCCAGCTTTTCGCCGCCTCTTGAAGCCCCCGATGTCTTCTGGGTCTCGTCTTAGGTCGGGCCTGTCCTCCTGCAGAGGGATCTTACTTGGACGAAAAATGAAAAATAGTCAAACAATACACCCAAATGGTCAACAAATGAAACATCGTCCCAATATATGTATATATACATATATATATATATATACGCAGATTTTGAACTTCCCCCCCTGTGAGGGGTGCCCTGGATGCCGCCAAGGCCTCCGTGGACGCCCTGGGACACTTCGGGCCAGGGCCACATGTGACCAGTTCGGCCAACCCAGAATACCCCCACCGTGCAGAACCTCCTGCTTTCGCTGGCTCCCGTCGGCATTCCGCCAGCGGAGCCGCCGCCGTTTCGCTTCCGCAGGCCCCCCGAATCCCTCCAGACCGCACGAGGGGCGCCCTGGAGGCCGCTAGGGCCTCGCTGAAAATGCTGTGACACCGTTGGCCTGGGCAATAGGCAGAAGTGAGTCAGGTCCTGGCCTGGGAAGCGAAGCGAACGCCGGAGTCGTGCGCGCTCCCTTGGGGAGCCCGCCCGTGCCCATTGCGGCATGGCGTGGACGCCGTGGCCTCAACCTGAGGGATCCACGAACCTGGTGAGGAACTAGGATCAAACTTTCTTTCTGACACGCGTGCCACATTTTCCCATATCTGGACTGCCACCACCACCACCACCACCACCACCACCACCACCACCACCACCACCACCACCACCACCACCACCACCACCACCACCACCACCACCACCACCACCACCACCACCACTACCTCCTGCCCTTCCTCCTCCTCCTCCTCCTCCTCCTCCTCCTCCTCCTCCTCCTCCTCCTCCTCCTCCTCCCCCCGAGCACGTAATTTTTCGTGTGAAGAAACTGCCGACTAGAAATTAATGCGGTCCCCTCTGGGGGCCGTGGACATGTGACAACAGGTGCCCCGCGCGCACGCGCCAGGCGCATGTTGGGTCCTCTCCTCCTCGCACACATTTTCACGTGAAACCAATTAGCCGAGTCCCCCCCTGGGGGCCGTGGACACGTGAGAACACGTGTCCCGCGCGCACGCGCCTGGCGCATGTTGGGCCCCACCCCCCTCCGCGCACGCACTCGCACGTGTAGAGGATGCGACGCGCCCAGGTTGGGTCACCCTCTTGGGGGCCGTGGGCACGTGAGAACACCTGCCCCGCGCGCACGCGCCAGGCGCATGCTGGCCCCCCCCCTCCGCGCGCGTAGTTTTGTCTTACGCGTGGAGCATCCGCTGCGGTCCCCCCCTGGGGGCCGTGGACACGTGAAGCACGTGTTGGGTCACCCTCTTGGGGGCAGTGGATACGCGCCGGGCACACGTGCCCCGGACCTGACTCTGAGGAGCGGCCCGCACACCGCAGCCCCACCTGAGCCCAGTGCGGCAGGAGAGCCCAGCGTCGAATCGACAGGTCGGATCGGCAAGCGAAGTACGTCGGATCGGCGGAAAAATCGGTAGCCGAGTTGGGAACAGTCGAATCGGCAGACGTCGGCGGGCTCGTGGGCCTCCAAGAAGACGTCGGAGCCCAAATCGGAATCATCCCATGTCGAGTCGAAGCGGGCTCGGAAGCCACCGAAACATCGAATCGCATCGAATCGGTTGCATCAACATGGGCCCTGAGGTGGTCCTTATTTCAACGTCTTGACTGCACTGCCCCCCCGTTGGCGAACGTCCGGCGCTTGGCAACACCCCGTTTGAGCAGGGACCGATCGTCCCGGCATTCCTATAGGCCTACCACGAAATGTTCTTAGCACCCCAAACTGTTCTAAGCGCAACAACAATGTTTCTAGAACACAAACCCGCTGTGCTAAAACAAGACGGTCCCAGCCAGAAGTGTTCTAAGCACATTTCGTGCACACACACACCACAGGCTCGTGGAACATTATGCGGTGGGCCTAATTAGGCGAGCCAAGACGCTTCGCCACTGCTTGACCCATCGGGGCGGCTCCGGAGGCAGCCCGGTCTGCGGCACGATGCCGTGGCCGGCGCCGTGGGGGCCCTGGCCGGCGGCGGCGCGCTGCGGCTGGCCGAGCGTGTAAGTCATGTCGTCCGCCGTGCCCTGCACCTCCACCTGCTGGGAAGAGAAGCGGTCGTCGTCGTCGTTCCCCTCCTCCTCCTCCTCGTCCTCCTATTCTTCCTCCTCCTCCTCGTCCTCCTCCTCTTCCTCCTCCTCCTCCTCCTCCACCTCATTGTTTTCTGTTTCCTGCTTGTGTGTGCTTGTTGTTTGTTAGTCTGCCTCTCTCTCTCTCGTAGGCGGCCTGTGCCGCCCGTGAAAAGAGGGACGTCTCACGCTCGCGACCGCGCGCGCCTCAACGCACGCCTCCTCGCCTCCCTGGGCCGCCCTCCCCTCCCCCCACGGTGGACGCGGGCGGTAAGACATGTTAGCCATCGTGGTCCCCAAACGGCGCGTTCTAGCAATATGTGTGTGGTACAGTCTGTGTTGTGTACTCTATGTGGTGCGCTACATATATATATATATATATATGTATGGTGCACTCTATGTGGTGCAATAGATGTGGTACAGAGCATGTGGAGCCATCTATGTGGTGCACAATCTATATGGTGTTACCCACGCTGCGCATATGGTATATATATGTAATCGGTTGTGCAACTTGCGTGATACAACCAATGCTGTGCACTCGATGTGGTGCAATCGGTGCGGTACAAACTATGTATGTGTGTATATATATATATGGTGCGCAATCTATGATATCCGGTGTAATATAAGTTGCGCAACCTATTATGTGAAATCTAAGGTGGTGCACTTTATGGTGGTGCGATTCGCTTGCCGAACTTGAAGTTGTCAACTCCACTGCTCGCTCAATCATCCCACCCACCCACCCGCAACTTGGTTCGCAAAACCCATGCGGGAACGATTGCGATGAGTCCTGGGTGTTGGTTGGTGCATCTCTGCGGCCGCGCTAGCCCACGCATGCTCGCGCAAGCAGCGGCCAGCTAGTTTGGCGCGACGGCGCGAACGCGGTGGTGCTGACCGCTCGGTACATCCCAGCGGGCACTTCAATACGAGTCGGCGACTTGGGCGGGCGCGGTATCCTGGCAACGTCGACAACGGTAAACGCGATGATGATAATAGTGATGCTGGTGGCGATGCTGACAGCGACGACGGGGCAGCCAGTGACGGCGCCGATGATGAAGGTTTTGGAAGGAATTCGAAACGCGCGCGCGGCAGGCGCGCGAGAATGGCTCGCATGGTATCAGTTGGCACGGATCGCGCCACCCCAGCACGCGCGCAAAGGCGTTCGAACGATTTCGACATGCGCGCGTGCGAACCCGTTTGGTAGCATGTTATGAACATGTTGAACAACTTAGGTTTTTTCTAAGAGTTCGCAAAAGCGCGCACGATTTTGTTGAACATCAGTGTTGCGAAACCGTATGATGGTTCTTGGACGCTCGATTTTGATATCCGTGCGAAACCGAAGGCTTTTGAAGGAAAGAATTTCGGCATGAGCGCGCGACGACGCGCGCTTGTGCACTTCGTCCCCCTTTTTGCGAGGGATTCTTGAGAACTTATGATTTCTGATAAACGAAAGCGCGCGCACAATACTATTTACAGGATGGGGCGGGGGTGATACCGGCCTGGCTGGGATACTACGAACTCACAGGTAGGATGGACAATTGGATCACACTCGTACGTGTTTTGCGTAGGTTCCCACGGGATCGGTAAGTCCGGGGGAGGGGGGGAGGGGGGTAGAACACACGCATATACATACACATATATATATATATATATAAATAGAACGGAGAATCTATGTGGGACAACCGATGTGGTGCGGGCTATGTGCTGCAGTCAATATTGTGCGCGTATCTATGTGGTGCAATACATATGCACATATATGTGTATGTATATACATACATTTATATATACATTCACATATATATATAGATATATGTATGCATCTCTTGGTGTATATGTTATCATGTAATATATGGTCCGCATTAGAGGCGGATCATACTGTTATGTGCAACCTATGTGCTGCAACCAATGTGGTGCAACCGATGTGGTGCAATCTATGCGGTGCACGAGCCAGGCCGTGCAATTTATGTGGCCGTGAAAAGTTGGAGTTGTCAACTTCACTGCTCGCGCAATCATCCCACCCACCCACCACCCGCAACCTAGTTTACAAAACCCATGCGGCGGCGATTGCGATGAGTGTTTGGTTCTGGCTGGTGCATCTCTGCGACCGCGCTAACCCGCGCATGCTCGCGCGCACGGCGGGCAATTAGTTTGGCGCGACCGACGCGACCGCGGTGGCGCTGACCGCTGGGCACTTCGCTGCGCGTCTCGCAGGCCGCGCTGGCGCGCGGGCACTTTCGTGCGAGTCGGTGTCTTGGGCGGGCGCGGTATCATGGCGACGTCGACCACTGGCAGGCACAATGATGATAGTAACGATGACGGTGACGATGGGGACGATGACGACGGCAAGGCCATTCACGGCGCCGATGCTGATCAAGCCGATGACGATGATGGTGTCCTCGCGTCGATGATGAAGGTTTTGGAAGAATTTCGACATGCGCGCGGGCGGCCGACGCGCGCGTGGCCGCATGGTCCTATTTGACAGGGATCGTGCCCCCCAGCACGCGCGCAGGGGTGTTCGAATGATTTCGACATGCGCGCGCGAGACGCCCGCTTAGTCGAATTACAAGAAACATTGCAGGATCTGTATTTTTCTTCAGAACTCGCAAGGGCGCGCGCGCATACCTTTTTTTCCGAACACTCATGTTACAAAACCATGTTTTTGGGTTTGAAAACGTTGGTTTCGGGTACTCGGTTTTCAAATACTTACGAAGCCTAAGCAGTTCTCGACGGATCCTGGCATGTGCGCGCGACGACGCGCGCGCGTGTGCATTTTTGTTGCAATTATATGATATAAAACAGCTGGTCATATTTGGTGAACGAAACGCGCGCGTAGTATTTTGTGCAAAAGGCGGCGGTGGGGAACAATACCAGCTGGGCTGGGATGGCACGGGTTCATAGTTAGGATGGATATACATTGCAATGCAGAAAATCGGACGGATACTTCCGGGTGGGTGGGTGGTAGATCCTAATTCTTTTATAACAAAGAGCCGACGGCGATAGCAAGGCGGCGGGCCCGACACCAGGGCCCAGACGACGGGTGGCGACGAGGCGGCGACGGGGAGGCGGCGGCGACGGCGACAACAAGGCGGCGGACCCTACACCAGGGCCCAGACGACGGGCGGCGACGAAGCGAAGCGGCGACGGGGTGGCGGCGGCGACAATAAGGCGGCGGACCCGACACGGGGACCGGACGACGGGCGGCGACGAGGTGGCGACGGGGCGGCGACAATAAGGCGGCGGACCCGACACCAGGGCCCAAATGTCTACAAGAGAAATGAGGACCCCCAAAGTGCAAGCACTGTTCGGGGAATTCTGATTTAACGGCGCACACTCGTCGTGTCGTCGACTTTCAAACTTCCTGGGAAGTGCCCGCGCGCATCTGGACCCCCAGGGCCATCAGATGACGACGACGACGACGACGACGACGACGACGACGACGACGACGACGACGGCGGCGGCGGCGGCGACGACGACGACGACGACGACGCAGGAGGTGCCCGCGGGGCACCTGCTGGCAGGCGGGCTTTTTGCTCTATGTGCCTGCAGAGTTGCCTCGCCCACCACGTACCGCGCCCAGGCCACGGGCGTGTCGGGGGCGTCTGAGAGGGGGTGGCCCAAGAGGGGGCTCCGCAAATCATGGCCCGAGGAACGTGCGCGGCCTGGGGGGGAGCCAAATGACGTGTTGAAAGAATAAGAAAAGCGCGCCATGAATTCCGCGGAAAGGAGGAGGAGAAGGAGGAGGAGGAGGAGGAGGAGGAGGAGGAGGAGGAGGGGGAACTTCCGAGCCTTCGGAGAAGGCCTGCTCCTTCTCACTTCCCCCCCGGGCCAGCCGCCGACTCTCCCGCACCCGCGGGAGGCGCGGGCGGGCGGCGAGCGAGGGCGCCGATTCTCCTCCTCGCTCCCTCCCTCGCTCGCCGCCGATCCAACCCCCTCTGGTCCTCCCCCCCGGCCTCTGGGCCGCTGCCCAGCGCGGGCCCGAGGCGCGCCGCTCCGCCGCTCCCTCCCTCCCCCCCCTCGGTGCCGCCGTCTGGTCCAGGTGCGCCGACGGCACGGGCTGGGGCTGGGCGGCGCCGGAGGGCAGCGAGGACGCCAGGGCCTGCGGAGAGCACGGCGGCGGCGGGGAGGACGACGACGACGGCGACGACGGCGAGGACGACGACGACGAGGGCGACGGCGACGACGAGGGCGGCAACGGAGAGGGCGGCGACAGGAGGGGGCAAACGAGGACGCCCCCGCCTGCGAGAGAGCGCGCGCCGGACCCTCCGCCTGACCCACGGACGCCCCCCCCCCGCCCTGCCACCTTGCCCAAAAGGGCTCTCCCCGAGGTTCCCCCTTCCCTCTCCTCCCCCCCGCTCCGGCCCCCAGAAACCAGCTCCCCCCTGGGGCCTTCCCGTTCCGGCCTCCCCCGCCCCTCCAGGTCCGCCGGGTGGAAGCTGCCCCTCACACACTGCCTCCTGTCCCGTGGAGGATGCGCTCCTCTCCTCCGCCTCTACATCCTCCGCCTGCTCCTCATCCTCGTGATCCCCCACCTCCCTCCTCGTCCTCGGCCACGGCCTCGCCCCCGCCCTTCACCATCGTCCTCCTCCCGGCCCCACTCGCCCTTCTCCTCCTCCTCCTCCTCCTCCTCCTCCTCCTCCTCCTCCTCTTCCTCTTCCTCATTCTCGTCGTCGTCCTTCCTTCTCCTCATCTAAGGACGGCGGCGGCTCTCGCGGCGCGGGGCCGCCGCCGCCGCCGCCGCCGACGACGACGACGACGACGACGACGACGACCTCCGCGCCGCTGCACGGCGGGCCGCCGAGTGCCGCCGAAGGCCCGAACCGCGGCGCCTGTTCCTTCTGCAGTGCCCGCTGCACCATCGCCTGCTCGTCGGGGCTCGGGGCCCTGTGCGCCTGGGGCAGGGGCGATGGGGAGGGGATGGCGGGGGGGAGGGAGGAGGGTGGAGGGTGGACGAACCATGGATGCAGGGGGCGGGGAGGAGGAGGAGGAGGAGGAGGAGGAGGAGGAGGAGGAGGAGGAGGAGGAGGAGGAGAGGAGGAGGAGGAGGAGGAGGAGGAGGAGGAGGAGGAGGAGGAGGAGGAGGAGGAGGAGGAGGAGTGGAGGAGGAGGAGGAGGAGGAGGAGGAGAGGAGAGGAGAGGAGGAGGAGGAGGAGAAGGAGGAGGAGGAGGAGGAGGAGGAGGGAGGAGGAGGAGGAGGAGGGGAGGAGGAGGAGGAGGAGGAGGAGGAGGAGGAGGAGGAGGAGCGGCGGAGGAGGAGGAGGAAGAGGAGGAGGAGGAGGAGGAGGAGGAGGAGGAGAAGGAGGAGGAGGAGGAGGAGGAGGAGGAGGAGGAGGAGGAGGCGAAGGAGGAGGATGATGATGATGATGATGAGGAGGAGGAGGAGGAGGGAGGAACTATGGATGGAAGGGGCGGGGGTGGGGGGACAGTGAGGGCGAGGGGGGGAGGGAGGATGACGAGAAGGAGAAGGCTGGAGGAGCAGAGAGGGGAGAGAGGGTCAGGAGGGATTGGGGGATGATATCGGGAGACGGTGCACTAGGAGCTATCCAATCCCACCCCTCCTTTTCTCCTCGTCCTCATCTACGCTTCTTTTCCTCCACCACCTCTCCCTCCTCCTTTCTCCTCCTCCTCCTCCTCCTCTTCCTCCTCGTCCTTCTCCTAGTCGTCGTCGTCCTCCTCCTCCTCCTCCTCCTCCTCCTCCCCGTCCTCTCTCCAAGCTTCTCCTCCGCTCCTCCCCGTCCTCCTCCTCCTCCTCCTCCTTTTCTACCTTCTCCTCCTCCTCCTCCTCCTCCTCCTCCTCCTCCTCGTGCTCCTTCTCCTCCTCCTCCTCCTCCTCCTCCTCCTCCTCCTCCCGCTCACCATGTGTGGCTCTCGCCTTGGCAGCGCGCGCATTCGTCGCAAACGGGTACAACCTAGCATTACACGGATGGAGGGCAAGCCGTTTTCAAACTGTGGCTCTCGCCTTGGCGCCGCGGGCTTTCGTTTCATTACCTGCAACACTTTTATGGATGGAGGGCGAGGAGGAGGAGGAAGAGGAGGAGGAGGAGGAAGAAGAGGAGGAGAAGGAGGAGGAAGGATAATGAGGAGGAGGATTATGGGTGGGGCCTTTGGGGGGAGTGCTCTAAGACCCTCGATGAAGGCAGTACCCACTCGAGTGTCACAGCGCGGACACCACCAATGCAGGCATAGCGAGAGCCTAGTTCGATCAACCTGCCCCGGTGGCGAAGGCCGATGGGGGCCTGACGGATGCATCCTTTTGGATCCGACTGCCATCAGCAAGAGCAACAGCTCGAGGAGGAGGAGGAGGAGGAGGATGTCCTCCTCCTCCTCCTCCTTCTCTCCTCCTCCTCCTCCTCCTCCTCCTTCTCCCCCTTCCGTCCTCCTTCTTCTCCTACTTCTCCTCCTCCTCCTCCTCCTCGCCCTCCTCCCTCTCCTTACTTCTCACCCATCTCCTCCTCCGCCTCCGCCGAGACGGCGGCCTTCGCGGCCTGGGGCCCACGACGACGATACTGCCCGGGGCCGCCGAGGGGCCGCCGATGGGCCTGTGCCGGGGTCCCGGCCGCCGCGGGCACCACGTCCGCGTAGCCCTGCTGGTCCTCGAAGGAGACCAGGCGCAGCTGCTGCTGCTGCAGCTGCTGCTGCTGCAGCTGCTGCTGCTGCCTGGCAGGAGCGACGACGACGGCGACGAGGAGGGTGAGGAGGAAGGGGGAGGGGGAGGGGGAGGGGGAGGGGGAGGAGGAGGAGGAGGAGGAGGAGGAGGAGGAGGAGGAGGAGGAGGAGGAGGAGGGGAGGAGGAGGAGGAGGAGGAGGAGGAGGAGGAGGAGGAGGAGGAGGAGGAGGAGGAGGAGAACGAGGATGAGGATGCTGATGTTGATGCTGATGATGATGCTGCTGATGATGCTGATGATGCTGCTGCTGATGCTGCTGCTGATGATGATGCTGATGATGCTGATGCTGATGATGCTGTTGATGTTGATACTGTTGATGTTGATGTTGATGATGATGTTGATGATGATGATGATGATGATGATGATGATGATGATGATGCTGATGCTGCTGATGATGATGGTGCAGCTGCAGCTGCTGCAGCTGCTGCTGACGATGCTGATGATGCTGCTGCTGCTGATGATGATGATGATGATGCTGCTGCTGCTGCCAGGACCGAACTTAAACAATGTTTGTCGTCTTCGTTCCCAACCATCCTGTGGTGTTGGGTCTTCGTTTTGAAGAGACAGCGCCCCGCGCTCTCCTCCCTCCTTCCTCCTTCCCCTCCTCACTCCTCCCCCTCCTTGCCTCTGCCCTCCGCATGTCCATTTCGGCACACCCCTCACACGGTTCGTGGCCCCATAGGGAGCTCCACCGAAGGCCCCAATGGCCGCGTCCGCATGCGCCCCCCCGAGCATTTCGGCACACCGCTCACACGGTTCGTGGCCTCACAAAGGGGCTCCACCGAAGGCCCCAATGGCCGCGTCCGCATGCGCCCCCCCGCCCATGTCAGCACACCCCTCACACGGTTCGTGGCCCCACAAGGAGCTCCACCGAAGGCTCCAGTGGCCGCCTCCGTGTGCGTCCCCTTGCCCATTTCGGCACACCCCTCACACGGTTCGTGGCCCCGTAGGGAGCTCCACCGAAGGCCCCAGTGGCCGCGTCCGCATGCGCCACTTCTGCCGTCTGCCGCACGTCCATTTCGGCACACCCCTCACACGGTTCGTGGCCCCATAGGGAGCTCCAACGAAAGCCCCAGTGGCTGCGTCCGCGCCCATCGCACGTCCATTTCCTCGTCCCGCTGCGGGCCGCCCATTGCATCCACGGTTCGTGGTCCCAGAGTTCGCCTGGAATGCGACACACCACGACCAACAAAACGGCCCACGAGATGGCCAACACACCGTTGTCCAGCCTTGGCTGTTGCTGCTGTTGCTGCTGCTGCTGCTGTTGCTGCTGCTGGTGATGCGTCCCCCCGCCCATTTCGGCACACCCCTCACATGGTTCGTGGCCCCATAGGGAACTCCACCGAAGGCCCCAGTGGCCGCGTCCGCATGCGCCCTCCCGCCCACTGTGGCACTTCCCTCACACGGTTCGTGGCCCCATATGAAGCTCCACCGAAGGCTCCAGTGGCCGCGTCCGCACGCGTCCCCCCGCCCATCTCGGCACACTTCTTGCACGTTTCGTGGCCCCATACGGAGCTTCACCGAATTCCCCAGTGTTCGCGTCCGCATGCGTCTTCCCCGCCCACCGTATGCCCATTTCGGCACACCCCTCGAATGTTTCATGACCCCATAGGGAGCTCCACCGAAAGCCCCACTGGCCGCGCCCGCATGCGCCCTCCCCGCCCACCGCATGCCCATTTCGGCACTCCCCTCACACGGTTCGTGGCCCCGATAAGGAGATCCACCGGACGCTCCAGTGGCCGCGTCCGCATGCGTCTTCCCCGCCCGCCGCACGCCCATTTCGGCACACCCCTCACACGGTTCGTGGCCCCATAGGGAACCCCACCGAAAGCCCCAGTGGCCGCGTCCGCATGCGCCCTCCCCGCCCGCCGCACGTCCATGTCGGCGCACCCCTCGCACGTTTCGTGACCCCATAAAGGGGCTCCACCGAAGGCCTCACTGGCCGTGTCCGCATGCGCCCTCCCCGCCCGCCGCACGTCCATGTCGGCGCACCCCTCGCACGTTTCGTGACCCCATAAAGGGGCTCCACCGAAGGCCTCAATGGCCGTGTCCGCATGCGCCCTCCCCGCCCGCCGCGCGTCCATGTCGGCACACCCCTCACACGTTTCGTGGCCCCAATGGGAAGCCCCACCGAAGGCTCCAGTGGCCACGTCCGCATGCGCCCTCCTCGCACCCGCATGCCCGTTTCGGCACACCCTTCACACGGTTCGTGGCCCCAATAGGAAGCTCCACCGAAAGCCCCCGTGGCCGCGTCCGCATGCGCCACTTCTGCCACCCGCCGCACGTCCATTTCGGCACACGCCTCACACGGTTCGTGGCCCCATAGGGAGCTCCAGCGAAAGCCCCAGTGGCTGCGTCCGCGCCCTCCCCGCCCATCGCACGTCCATTTCCTCTTCCCGCTGCGGGCCGCCCATTGCATCCACGGTTCGTGGTCCCAGAGTTCGCCTGGAATGCAAAACGAAAGGACCAACAAAACGGCCCCACGAGATGGCCAACACACCTTTGTCCAGCCTTGGCTGCTGCTGCTATTGCCACTGACGATGATGATGCTGCTGCTGATGATGATGTTGATGATGATACTGCTGCTGATGCTGATGATGGTGATGATGATGATGCTGATCATGATGCTGATGATGATGATGATGATGATGATGATGATGATGATGATGCAAATGCCGATGCTGATGCTGATGACGGTGGTGGTGGTGATGATCTGGAGGATGAGCTGGGGAGGGGGGTGATGAGGAAGGGGAACGGCAACAGGAACGACATCGGGAAGCGGCGACACGGATGACGACGAGGATGCCAAGGGAGGAGGAGGATGAGTAGGAGTAGGAGGAGGAGGAGAAGAGGAGGAGGAGGAGTGCACGTACCCAAAGAGCAAGAGACGAGGGCAAGCGGACAAGAGGCGAGACGAGGGCAAGAAGTCCGTCCGCTCCTGGCCAGCAAGCGCGCGTCTACTTCCAGAGCATTGCTTTGGCAGCGCTCAACCCTTCAGCTATCGAAGCTGGGGTCGGCGAGGCGTGCTTCATTCTGTGGGCGTAGTGGAAAGCGAGCTCAATCCGCTGATTCGACCGCGGCGACGAGATCTCGTTCGCGGGCTCAGACGGCTAGGCTGCATCGGGGCCGTCGCCCCTGGATGTAAGCGTGATGTGGGGGTTGGGCGAGGTGGGGGAGCAAGGGGGGCAGAGGAGGACCGAGCGGGCGAGGTAAGGAGGGGCTGAATCGGGCGCTGCCGTGCACCCAAACACACAGGAAATCAGCAGGCGAACGTGCATGCTGTGGGTCGTTGTCTGACCACCTGCGAGGGTCTTGTAGACCATCCAGCGCCAATGCGTGCGGACAGGGCGCATGGCATCCGTGAGGGCAGCGCAGCTCGATTCCAGCACTGGGGACAGGAGCGGCTGAGAGAAGCCCCAGGCTGGGGCGCACTTCGCTGGCATGACTTTGCTGGGCCATGAGAAAGAGGCCCGCGGCAGCGAGAGCGCGACCGCGCGCTGTGCCTTGGGGCGGCGCGGTGGCTCAGCACTCGGAGCTTCGTGAATTTCGCTGGCAGCCACGCGGTTCGCCGCAGCCGCGGCAGCTGCAGGCGACGGCACATCAATGAAGAAAGGCTCCCATTCCCCACGGGGCGTGAAAGTGGCAGAGTGACTGGCAACGGCGACTGAAATCTGAGCTGAGCATGGGACAAGAGGCGGGCGCCATTCCGCCATGGCGCTGGGATCTACTTTGCGGGATGTGTCAGGCAGGGGGTTATGCAACAGGCAGAGAATGTGATGAACACTACGGGCAAGCTTCTGACTGAGCGGGGCGGACTGCGAGAAATGGCATAGCGTTGAAACGACTGATGAGTTAGGAAGGCGGACGGTGACAACACTGCCACCCTGCGCGAGCTGAAAAGAACCCGCCCAACGCAGGGCGACGACGCACTTGCGAGGCTTCAGGGGGGGAGGCACATGCAACTGAGCGGCGGCAAAGGGCTCACTGTCAGCGCGCAGCGTGTCGAACGCGATCGTGAGGAGGCCCGTGTCGACGGCGCGGCCGCCCAGGAAGCGCTTGTCATAGTCATGCATGCCGTCGTAGGTCATGATGCGCGAGGCGATGTGGCGAGCGTGAGGGACCGTGGCGAACACCCAAGCCGAGCCATGCACGGGGCAGCCCTGGGCCGAACCGAGTTCGAACGGGAGCATGAAGTAATGAAGGCCGTCATTAATGAGGATGCTGTCGGGAGCGAGGTACCGCTGGTGAGCGATGCACATCGGGCCCTCAAGGATGTCGTAGTACTCCAACGTCGCGAGGAGCCAGCCGCATCCGTGCGACAGGGACAGATCCGCGCGGACGAAGCTGTAGAGGACGGGCTTGTGCTTGTCGGCCTTTGGTTGAACTCCAGCCTGATGCATCTCAGTGCCGAGGTTGGCGAGGAGGCTCATCTCGGCGGCGGGGTTGAAGATGTGCTTGGTGAGGATGCAGCCCACTACCAAGCCCTGCTGCAAGTAATACGTCCGCTCTGCCACAGCGGATTTGGTGAGGATGAAGGCTTCGCCTGCGAGGGCAATGATGTCTGTGTGCTTGAGGGGCGGCGGGCGCGTGTCCCCAGGGCGGCGGTCCGCGGTGGGCGCGCCTAAGAGGATGACGCCCTTCGGCATGATCATGAAGGCATGGTCGTACAGGACGAGGGTGAAGACAGGGTTGAAGCAGAGGTGCAAGGCAAGGTCCTCCATCGGGCCAATGGGCACGCACACGGCGAACCAGGCGCAGTACGGCAAGAGGTCGATCCCAGACGCAGGAGGGGACGAGTGCGGCAGAAAGCCTCTGAAGTGCGACTTGATGAGCGCGTCGCCGTCGTTGATGGGGTGGCTGAGCGAGAGCGCGACAATGAACTGTTGGACCTTGGAGGCAGCGACGTGCTTGCGCTTGAGGACGGGAGTCCCGAGGGCGCGGAGAGCAACAGCCAACGCGCAGCTCTCTCTGGCTACTCCTGGGTGGCCCTCG